TGTCAAACACGCGAGATTCACGCTTGACTGTAATTAGGCTATTAATTATCATATACACAATTTAATGCTTATTAAGGAAAGGTAAATATAGATATCCGGTTACGTAGGCACCGATAATAAAGTTAAATACTTAAAACAAAAAGTTAAAAGCCCTACCCCAGGTACCCGAATGTCCAACAATCACAACTTATGACGCCTCTGGTGTTTTGGATGTCCATGGGCGGTGTCGATTGTTTACCATCAGGTGATCCGTCTACTCGGCTTATCCCATTAAAAAAGTTACGTAACAGGTCGGTAAGAAGTGTAAGTGGTATACATTATTTATCGGTAAAAGGTTTAATTAAAGACTAATCCAAATGAATAGACATTGTGGTTGGTCTTAGACTAAATGCAGTGTGCCGGCTCGAAGTTCAGGAGAAGGAACGGGGTGGTTTTTAGTCAGTAAGAGTCTGACACTCCCTTCCGCCTCACCCAGGAGGGAGAAATCATTCGATGATTTTTTCCCCCTTAAAAAAAAAGGCAGTAATTTAGAACTGCAGAGGCTACATATAAATTACCCAACTCCTAAAGAAAAACAAATCAAATCACTAAACAAGTCAATACATTTTCAAGACACGTAATTTCTTTAAAACCTCTTGTAAAAACCACGTAGTTTAGCCATGCGCATCCAAAATGACCCTACGCGACCATAAAACAGCCAAATGGCCCAAAAAGAGGACAATGACTATCATAGACGTACGATAAAGGCACAATTTGGCTCATTTGTTCTAAGTACCATAATGTATGTAATTCTACTTTCTACACATTGCATCAGCCTTCATTGTTTAAGTTCAAGGCATTTGAATATTCATTGCCTTTACAACTCATTATGATTTACGTTGATTTTATCTTAATTTGTTTTAAGTAAGTGGTAATTAATATTTTGATTGCTATCGTAGTTTAGTTGTTTAGCGTAAATCGCAGTTAAGTTGTGTATCGTGACGTGTGTGGTGATCTTACCTAGGTCAGTTATAAGCTTGTGTGATTAATGTGTATTACTGAACCGATTTCTTACTAAAGCAAATAGTCTAAAGATAATTTGAGAAAGATTGAAATATTCTCATAATATGTCTCTTTGTCAGAGCTACAGCTCTTTGTCATGAGAGAATTGTCCACTGCAAAACATAGGCTTCCCTAGTCTTCCCTCAGAAGGGTTTATTGCTTTTCTTTCACAATCATTAACCTATTTCAACACACATAGATCCTAACTAAAGCCGTACTTTCCGACCGTGTGTTAACTTTTACAGATTTTACGGAACAACCCAAAATGAACTCTGATTCAGAGACAAAAATTACAAAATCGCGATGTCTCGTTTGCTAAAAATAGTGTTTAAACTTAAAATGTAAAGTTAGGCGTGTCAGCGGTTACATCATGTGTTGCACAAACTGCTTTAGTGAAAGAGAGAAAGGCATTGGGTCCTCTTACTACTAGCTGGTAATGTATTACAGAGCACGTATCAGATGACTGAGGTACTCGTCAAGCATCACTACGTGGGTAATATTATGTCGACTTGAATGTAGATTACACTTATGTGATAATATGTCGATGTGTTACGAATTTTTCGCGTTTCCCGTTCGTTGGCATAGTGATGTTAGTAGTTTACTTAAAATATATGTATCTGTGTTGGTATCTATCCCTCATCTTACATCTCTTGACCATGTCTTAGCTTGAGCATCTTGAGAATTCCAAAAAATTGAATTTTTGTTTTTTTGTTTTGTTTTATCGTGATAATAATCGGTGAAAAATTCACAAAAAAAAGCGTTAGTGCAAAGTCGTAACTGACCTGTGTTTAATTTAATGGAACACTATTTAAAAAAAACTAAAGCAACTGCTAGTTCTTAGTAGACTATTTTAACAGTATTCATAATACTACAATGATATTTTATAAATTAACTGGTGAGAAGTTTCGTAAACATAACGGAATCTGCAGTTACTGTAAAGAAAATACAACATGGTTGCTGTACAAAGTATACAAACGTGTCAATTTCACATAAGCTGATACACTGGAGCGTAATTTAGTTAACAAAAACATATCATGTCTCGTCTCAGTATCGTCTGGAACTGTCAAATATGGTTTAAAGATGGATGCGGTCATTATCACGCGATGTACTAATGTTTGAATTCCATGTTATGCATTGATTTAGCTTTTGGTACACGTAATCTTTATATGAATATTTTTTATGCGAAAGTGATGTGTTTTGTTTGATTACTTAAGTAATAGTTGTTAAAATTACAGTTGTTTTTGGGAACTAATGATATGTTATATATTATTTAAGTGTGGGAGAGCCATGCTTCGGCACGAATGGGCCGGCTCGATCGGAGTGATACTACGGCCTCACAGAAAACCGACGTGAAGCAACGCTTGCGTTTTGTTTCGTCCTGTGAATGAGGTTACCGGAAGCCCAATTACCAATTCCTGAATCGCCAACGATTCTCAAACTCCTAATCCCCAAAAGGCCGGTAACGGACTTGTAACCTCTGGTGTTCCAGGTGTCTATGGGCAAAGCTGATTGCTTACCATCAGGTGATTCGTCTGCTCGTTTACCGGATAATGCCATAAAAAAAATTAAGTACAAAGTGTCTGTTTGCTTAAAGTGATTGATGTCTAGGTAAGATTTTATAAAGTTTCTTTTAGTCGATTTATTGAGCAAGCCAAGTACACTAGTCTTCAAAATACTGTTATGACGCGAGATGGATGGATTACTAAATGCATGGCATAGATGACTATCGTTACTAATTTTGTGGACGCTGCTGCGATCAAACCAGATATATTTTTTTTTATATTTCTGTGGATCTAACTAAGAATTGGATAAATTTTCTGCTAAACCTTTAAAAGAAAACAAGTCTATGAGAAGTCAGTGTTATTATATTTAATTATAATATGTGAAGAGAAAACTTTGGACCACTTTTGAACATATTGCGCGCACGAATGGGTCGTGAGATCTGTCTTTGTTAAGACCTATTATGGGAGAGAAATGTGTAAAAAAATCTCTTCTAAATATTATGATAAATAAAAGATATTGAAACCTGTGTTTTACTCGTTTAGTTGATAAATCACTACGTTACGTTTTTATTCAACACTTTGTCTTTGAATGTTTTTGTGAATGCGACATACTCATGAAAGGTATCGAATGGAACGATGTTATTTTGCACTAAATATGGTATCCATAAAGTTATTTGTCCAGAAGTGTTAATTATTCTTAAAAAGTCTATGCGTTTAATATCAAGTGAAGAAAGACGTGTCATAAACTAACTGTCTTAGTACAAATATTTGTTAAAGTGCAAAAAAACATTTAGATCAACAGAAAGGTTTTTAAGTGTGGGAGAGCCATGCTTCGGCACGAATGGGCCGGCTCGACCGGAGTGATACCACGGCCTCACAGAAAACCGACGTGAAGCAACGCTTGCGTTGTGTGAGTGAGGTAACTGGAGGCACAATTCTCCCCCATCCAATCTTCCCAATCCCCGAATCCCCAACAATCCTCAAATTCTTAATCCCTAAAAGCCGGTATCGCACTTGTAATGCCTCTGGTGTTTCGGGTGTCCATGGACGACGCCGATTGCTTACCGTCAGGTGATCCGTCTGCTCGTTTACCGACTTATTTATTTATTTACACTTTAATGCACACAAAATAAGGTACATAAGGCGGACTTAATGCCATATGGACTAATTCCATAAAAACAATGTAAAGATTTAACCAGGTATAGAAATAGCTACTGTATCTATTGCACAAGTATAATTCCTGTCTACTTAAGTTCTTATGATCATCCATAGACTATTATGACTACTGACACAGCTTCATAAATAGTTCATGCGTAGAGATTAAAACAGATTAAAACTACTTACTTACCTATTCTTAATTGATGTAGATTAAGTAATAAAGCCTTGACATGTGTGTGAGATAATATTAAGTACTAATAATAATGCCACAATAGTAACACCAAAAAATTGCATCATAGTTCATGATAGATACATTGTAAAGGGCCATTAACATTTCAGTGATCGATTTAATCAGGCAGTTCTACGGGAGTTATTATGAATATTTTTGAGTATCAACAACTTTAACTTCGTCAATAACTTATAAATTCCTAATGTTGTTCCAAGTTACTATGTACAGTAACAATAACAAATTAACAAAGAAACGCTTGTCAAGCGTGGTGGCAAAGCCCCATAATTATGTAGAAGAAGCTCACAATCCAACAGTGATAGTTGCGGACTATTGATTGCATTAACAAATAAAAAACATATCAATAAAGAAACGCACGAATATTCGTGTTCGAAATCAAATCGTTGGAATCGCTGCAATATAGGTAATGATGACAAATTGAATATCATGCCCGACATTTCCTTTTCCGATATATATTTATTTGCGCACGCAATTTATTAACACTTTACTGGCAGGCTCGAATATTAACTGTCTTGTTTGATTATGGAATCTGGCACCTATCTATCAATTCTAAATGAGCAATTATCTGCTTATAAGTGTACTATTTATAATGGAAGTCAAAGCAGCAATTCAGTTAAATTTTCCAATAATTTCAAGCATTTTGCATCCTTGTAGTCATAATTCATTAAAGAGGTTTTATACTTCCATATTTTATTACATAAGATTCCATTTCCGAATTCAAACAGTCGGTAGCGCGGCAAAATTTATGTTTGTCTATGCCCGACATAATCGCTTCATTATGTATCTGGGATGGTAAATAATCGTCATAAAACACGCGAATTTCGATATCTACTTTCAAAGCATTCTGTAATTATTGCCCGCTTTCTTCCGGTCCGATGCAGAAGATGCGAGATACATGTTTCGTAGCGGATATGCGGTTTTTACGAAGTGACATTTGTTTCGAATCATGGTTTAAATACATTAATTATAATAATAATATTTGTTCTAGATCACTAAATCGTTGTTATGTATAAATGAGTTTTATTTAAAAGAAAAATCATCTATGTACTTACTCTCGGTCCGGTGATGGCGCAGACGGCATGCGCCATCAACAAGAACTGACAAATGCTGCCCCTCATACTGCTCTCAAAACCCAGAGCGGCTGAGTATCATCACACAACACACCACTATTATCTTAAAGCGTACGTCCTTTGCCACTGTCTGACAAAAAAATCACTGCACGACACTATGTTCCGAACTCGAATTAAAAAAATTAAATTTAAATTTGGGCGGGAACGGTAACGACACAGTTTGACAGCCGTTTGATGGCGGATACACGCAGCGGCAGTTAGCACGGCAATAGCGCGAGCGGCCAGCACCTGTTCGTTTTACCAGCCCCACTTCTCGTACCCCCTACTCGTTTCGAAAGGATTCATCAAAGATGAGAATTAAAACAGACGGCATCGCGGGACGTTAATTGAATTGAATGTTGCATAAATTCTATAATATTTTTGGGTCAGTAGCTAGCGAAGACGACAATAATATTTTCTTTATGATCTCTAATTTCTTTGCCGCCATGCTAAATAGCTTCAGTATTTTGAAACTCCTTGTTGCAAACTTTCTGCGATGATATTGCATATTATATTCTAAAATACTGAAATGGCAAGGTTAGGTAATGAATTTTAATTATTTTTCTAAACAACATTTCTCTTCATAAGCGCATAGTAAAAGCTTTAACCTTTTCAAATCTTCCACTGATATACAATTTGGCAACTACATAAGTATGAACAAAATAAACTGTAAAATAATAATAAACGACGTTTGTAAAAGATAATCAAACATCACTTTTGTTTCTTAAAATTTGAAGATGTGAGGAAACAGAGCGTAAACCATAAACCGCCAGTGAAGCCATAAGGGTCGTAGGTCATCCGGAAAACAATGGGAGCTTGCACAATAATAAGTAGAGGAATCTCTTCGGTCTCGGAACGTTAGTGATAAAGGCAATGACACTACGATGACGGTTTTCAAAATAATTACTCGTGTTTCCTTTATATATTTCAAAATGTTAACATGGATCAAACAAAAACAATGAACGCTATTTTTTTTTAATTTATCATCTGTAAGAAACTTGTAAACCTAACATAAAATATTCGTTTACAAAGGATCATTATTAAATAAAAAAACAAACAATTTGTCTATTATCATTAACAACTGTCAAAAACACGCGCCAATAATTTGAACTTCATCAATTCGAATTGCAAATTTGAATTTGTTCACGGTTAAAGGCCCTTGCAAGATCCATCGCAAATCGTATGGTAAGATCATTAATCAGGCGAGATATCTGCTGATGTCGAAACAACAGTAATGTTCCATGAACACAATGGTTGAAACCCTTGTTGGGCCACAGTTTGTGCGAAAGAATGGAGCATATCTCTACTAATTGGTGTTGAACGTTTTGCACCATTTAAGTTGGAGGTATTGTGTCGCAAACTCTCAAACCACTGATGCTTTCGGTCGTGTAAAAAAATATTCGTAATATTTTTAACGCTGTGACTACCTCGTTGGCCGAGTGGACGCAAGTGCGACTGCTGAGCAAGGGGTCGGTCAAAGTATTACAGGGTTTTTAAAAATTCTCAGTACATAGTAGCACAGAGTCTGATATTGTCCCGGTATATGGCAATAGGCTCACCCCCAATTACATGGGACTCATAACATAAATAGTGAAAAGTGGGTGCTACATTGTACAGTGGCATTAAGTGCCGTAATGTGCATCTCTGCATACTCCTTCGAGGATAACAGGGGTGATGTTATGACGTTATGATTTTAACCCTTTTCATGGATTTTTGAAGATAACACGTGTGTGTTAAGAAATTAGAGTTGTCTATGATAAACAGAAATTCTGGACATAAGACCCCAATGTTATTGAGTAAGTGACAGGGAGTTATTAAAAAAAAATGTTAGTAGTTAGGTACCACGAGTAGAACAATTACGGAAAACGTCTTCGTGGCGTCCATTTTCACAGATCAGTAAACAAAATACTGTGACTGATTTCTTTAGAAAAATATTTTGTCGACATATCGATTCAAGTGTCAACAATATATCTCTCTGTTCACAGTCAAATGTTTTATAAACACCCTCGTACTTTTGTTATGTGAAGGCATAATAATATTTAAATCATAATAATTTATTATATCCGTGTTTAAAGCATCACCGATATCAAGATATGATAGATAGTTAAATAATCATGTTTTCAGACAATACGGAGTTGGATACACACTGAAGCCCAGACATAGGCCTTCTCCAAAACCACTTAGAACCTTCAATGGCACGTAATCTACCTATACAGTGTCGCGGAGAACCTAACGGGTAACCGGGGCTCCGGCTCGACGTGCAGGAGAAGCACAGATATAATAAAGAAGAGGAGAAGGAACGGGGTAGTTTCCAGTAAGTAAGAGTCTAACACTCCCTCCCACCTCACCTAGGCGGGAGCAGTCATTCGATGATTTTCCCCGCTTAAAAAAAAACCTACCTATACAGTAAATGCATCAAAATGAAATTCAAAATTTAAAAATTTGCGCAATAACTTGCACATGTATGGAAAATTTAATTTTCGCAATATATCATTGTTGGCAAAACAATGGGTGGTAAAATATTAAATGTTTAGATGCGATCAGACAGATGACTGACTGAGATATCGACAGTTCTTTCAACTTAGGCAATTGTTTGGTACCTAGAATAATATATTGTGTGGTAAGTGCGTACTGTACCTACAAGCGTTTTGTGTGGTGATTTGCTCAATTTTTTATTGCAACATTATTGGCATTTTGATATTAATATCTATGGACCTAGAGGTGAAAGTGCATTGATTTTTGTTACTATCTATCTAAAAGATTTGGTAACAAAAAAATATATATTTTGGGAAAATTCGAACTTATTGGTCAGTTGCAGGCGTTGGGTATATTATTTTAAGGTTAAATGCCGAAATTTTAATGTTAAATGCTGAAAAATAATTGCACTTTTTGATAATATATAGGCAGAAAAGACTTACTTAGCTTCGTTTTAACCACGATAAAATATATTAATAGTATAAATGTATGCAAAACTGTACAAAATTGCTCAAAATCTAAGCCAGACCAGATATAATTTAAGCATATAAGCATAAGCATTTAATTAAGCATAAGCCCAACGTAAAGCTGATTTTTTCTCCAATCAGAAAGAAAAAAGTGACTCACTTTCAAACATCGACCTTTAACGGTCATCACGGGTCAATGCATCCGCCATATTGTTTATCGAATTTCAATAATTGTCCAACAAAAACTAGAATAAATAAATATTTAAACACTAAAATTGCAAACTATATCTAATTAATGTCAACATTACGGAATTAATTTCAAAATGGCGAATAAATATTTAGGTTTACTATAAATAATAAATCTAGCAACTGTTTTATGAAATCTTACAAATTACGCACTTCTTATTACGTATCTGTGTACCTTATTACAATGGTGATAGGATTGTAAATCATTTAATTTGTGTGAAGGTGTAATTTTGTTGTTCTTTTTTCAAATGATCGGCTGGCGGGAAATTGATCAGCGGGCAAAAGCGATTATTACTGGTTCCATTATATTGTTATTGACAAACAAAATAAATTTATTTTGCGACACTACCTACGGTGGTGGCCCATTGTAACGTATAAACAGTGTAGGTATTTCTTATTTGCTATGTGTTTATGTAACTAAATCAGTTCATAACAATGGAAAAAATGTGCAACCCAATAACCTTTGACTTGTCTTTTAAAACTGGGCTAGTAATAATCAGCTTCATATTTCTGCAATACCAGGAACTGTATTATTGTGGCCGAAGAATTATAAGTATTTCACTAAGCTAAGTATTTAAGGGGGGCAAATCATCGAAAGACTTCTCCCGCCTGGGTGAGGGAGGGAGTGTCAGACTCTTACTGACTAAAAACCACCCCGTTCCTACTCCTGCACTTCGAGCCAGAGCCTCGGTAACCCGTTAAGGTCTCCGCAACTCCGTATCGGCATTATTCCTATTGGGCCCCATCCGTGGTGGTCTGATGGCTTTAAGGCGCGCGCGGAACGTGACGCGCCTTACTTCATTAAGCTCCTTGAGGTATTAATTATCGCCTTTTCTCGTCTTTCACTCATCCACAAATCGCCTCATTAATAATGTAGATGTGCACAAAAATAGCTCTTCAGGGAATAATGAAGGGAACTGTCCCACTGTTACCATGATAATTTAGTAGTCTGTCGAAGAGGAAGACCCTCTTACTGACTAAAACCACCACAGTCAGTCATCCCGTCACTTGAGATTATGGTCGTCGTGTGGTACAGAGGTTCAGCTAAGACCAAGAGACCAAGAGACTTGACCAAGAGAAACACCAGCCAGTTTTGTATTTTTTTTATGAGATAAGCCGGTAAACTGGTAGACGGATCACCTGATAGTAAGCAATCGGCGTCGTCCATGGACACCCGAAACAACAGAGGCGTTACAAGTGCGTTATCGATCTTTTGGGAATTAGGAGTTTGAGGATTGTGGGGGATTCGGGGAATGGGGAGACTGGGGAAGGGGGTAATTTGGCCTCCGGTAACGTCACTCACACGACGAAACACAACGCAAGCGTTGCTTCACGTCTGTTTTCTGTGAGGCCGTGGTATCACTCCGGTCGAGGTCGAGCCGGCCCATTCGTGCCGAAGCATGGCTCTCCCACATTTAAAAATGTACACACTGTATTAAATGTTATCAGAATCATAAAATGTAAAATACATACGGTTCGGTTCAAGGAAAGTCACTGTAATAATAATAATATGCATTATGTTTACATATTAATAGCCGTTGTTAAATATCACCAATTTCTTTTGTTTCCATTTCGAAATGTTGACATCTCGCGTGCTGTGAGACGGTTGCGTAAACCGATGATAACCGATCTTTGCCGAGTCACCACGATTACGAATGGCGCACGCGGGCTATGCAAAGCGGATCCGAATTCGAAACGGAACTAATTTGGAAGGTCGAGCCGATTGATAATGATTTTAACGCGGATTTGGAAATTAAATTCTGAGCTACTGATTAAAAAATTTAAAATAATGGTTCGTGGTTGAACTTGAACCATTCGAAC